ATTATTTATTTTCTTCTCATAAAGTTCTGAGAATTTCTTCAGAATTTTTTCAGAATTTTTTAATACCGTATTTTCTCATGTTGGTAAAAATAAGAAAATGCAGTACTAAAAAGTTGATAAAAAATTCTCAAAAAATTCTCAGAACTTTACGAGAAGAAAATAAATAATTTTTGTCTCTTGCAGTTTTTTTTTAAAGTTGATAGTATTTGAGTAAAAAATTATTCAAGTCAAATATTGTGTAATTTTTAGCAGGGTTGGTAAAAACTAATGTTTTTTTTTAAGAATAAAACATATTGTGTTTCTTCTTGAATATGTTTTAATGCTTCAAATATGCTTTAAACAGTACTATAAAAAAACATATTTAAAACATATTAAAAACATCAATTAAGCATGTTTTAAACTATTTAAAACACGTTTAAAACATGTTTTTTACCAACCCTGATTTTTAGTAATTAATATCTTGTTAACTATTGCAAAAATTGCAAAATGGTAGAGGACTTTTCGACTCAATTTAGTCCACTCTATCTACACAAAAATGATTGGCAAAAAAGATCGGAACACCCTGTATATCTATATACAGGGTGTTCCGATCTTTTTTGAGGAAAAAGTACCGGGACACCTGAATATCATAGAAAATATAAGTATTACAGAAAAGTGTTTCAGACAAAAGTTGTAGGGTTCAAAAAGATCTATTTACTGATCATATCCGTTTGATACTTGCGTGGTATCTTCAAGCTCAGGTCAAGGTTAGATCAATTTTTTTAAATGGGACACCTTATTTTTCATTGCATCTCGAGAGAGCTTTCCAAAACACTATAATAAAGTATTTTTTCATGAAATACTTTTGGAATTATAACGTTCGAAAGTTACAGTACAGTTGATATTAGCATTTAGCAAATTGTCCGACAGACGGTAAAACCTCTTGAATGCTGTTCAAGATCATGTCCTAGATAACATTTGTCAAGATCAAGGTCATTGGAGATTATTCCTCTTATTTTCATTTTTGCACTAAAAATTTATTTATTGCAATCGGGACACCTAAATAACTTCTGAACGGTTCGAGATAGAGGATTGAAGTTTATAGGGATGCAAATGGCATCATAAAATCTATCATTTAACGCCAAAAACGCCCATTTTAACACCTCCGGGGGTCGGTGGAGAAGGGGGGCGGAAAAATCTTAAATTGCACGTGGGGTGGAGTGAGGGCTCGTTTGAAAGGGCCTTCCAAGACGAGAACAACGCGTGGTGTCTCAGGTCTCTGCGATTTTTTTTCGATAGATTTTATGATGACATTTGCATCCCTATAAACTTCAATCCTCTATCGAACCGTTCAGAAGTTATTTAGGTGTCCCGGTTGCAATAAATTTAGTGCAAAAATGAAAATAAGAGGGATAATCTCCAATGGCTTTGATCTTGACAAATGTTATCCAGGACATGATTTTGAACAGCATTCAAGAGGTTTTAGCCGTCTGTCGGACAATTTGCCTAATGCTAATGTCAACTGTACTGTAACTTTCGAGCCTTATAACTCCAAAAGTATTTCATGAAAAAATATTTTATTATAGTGTTTTGGAAAGCTTCTCGAGATGTGTTATAAGAATATACAATGAAAAATAGGATGTTCTATTTAAAAAAATTGATCTGACCTAGACCTGATCTTGAAGACGCCACGCAAGGTCAAACGGATATGATCAATAAATAGATCTTTTTGAACCCTATAACTTTTGTCTGAAACACTTTTCTGTAATACTTATATTTTCTATGATATTCAGGTGTCCTGGTACTTTTTCTCACCCTATATACTATACATATAATAAATATAAATATAAATAATATATAAAAAATATATAATATATACATATATAAACACAGAAATATATTTAAAAAAATTAATAAATTATTTACTTATACTTAATGGCCCATATTCAGAACGCGCTTACAACGATGTTAGCACGTTAACATGCTATAATTTACGTTACGCATACTATAGAATTTTAGAGATAAAAGCACGCTTTTATCAAGAAATGCACGTTTTGAATACGGGCTATAATATTATGTAATTTTCGAAAGAAAAAATCTAGAAATAATCTCGAATTATTCATGTATTATGAACTGGGACTCGTGCTCACATAAATTGAGTTTTCCTTTGTTTTAATAGATAAAAGTAATATTTCGAGTAATCATTTAATTTGCTTTCTGATATTTGAATCAGTTCCTATAATTCCTATAATATTACGAAAAGAAAGTTGTAAAAAAATTTATTAAATCTTTTACAAAAATTTTTTATTGTATTTGTAAGTTATAACTCGCGTGAAACAAACATGTATAATTTTATTTATAATTTTTTACTTTTGTAATCATTATTATTAACATTTTTTACTACATTTTTTTTAGAAATAAAAAATAGTTGGCGAGATTGATAAAAAATAACATTAGTCAGTAGCACACATTCGAAAATAACAAATATTAAAAAATTTTTTATTTATGCACGGAGAGAATTTTCTTTTAAAATTTACCCTGAAAATAAGACAGTCGTGGGACAACATTATATTTCGAAGATTTTTACCATGCACTTCAGTAAAATTGATCAAACTTATTTTAAACTTTATTGTAGTTTTATTAATGAATGAGAGGGATTTATGTTAAAATTCTTCAAAATACAATGTTGTCCTACGACTGTCATATTTTTAGGGTAAATTCTAAGAAAAAATTCTCTCCGTGTGTAACCAAGGCATTATAATCAAACTAAATGTATACACGACAATGGGCAGTTTGGAGTCAACGCTAGATATTTGCTGCCCATTGTCGTGTATACATTTAGTTTGATTATTTGAGGAGTCCATAGATTGTAATTTCTTTATGAATTGTCAAGGCATTATAGCACCCTGATCTTGCTTCTAATAAAGTAAAATTTGTCGAAAAAAAGTTCTGGCAATGCTGGTGTGACATACGGTCGAACTCTGATGGGATCGTTATTTTATTGACTTACACACATGACTTACAATATGTATGTACATAAGATTTACGAAACTTCGATAAATCACTATATATACTGCTAAATCAATATTGCATGTATATATAACATATGTATATGAAACACATAATTTATTTCTTATACTAAAATTTTTTGGCTTATTTCTGAAATTATAACATTGCTGTTTCATGTAATCTCTAATCCGAATAAAGCTGAACCTCTTCAGACCTGATTTTATTGAAACTATGTTAAAAAAAATTATTTTTAATTCAGTTCATGTGTATTTAAATAAATAACTCATACTAACTTAATTTTTTTCAAAATTTTGACTATTTTTCTAACATACACCTACATTATTATATACATCAGATTTCAAATGTCGACAGAATTAAGTAATTTCAACGGATGTGTTCAAATTTGATGTATTTTACATTAATGTACGCTGGATCTGAAGGAGTTAACTGTTTTATATATACGTATATATACGTATATATACGTGTATATATATATATATATATATATATATATATACACAAAGTAAAACTTACATATAAAGATTATAAAGCATATATTATTACGAGTCGACGTCAAAAGTCTTATAACAAAACATTTTCTCCGTTTTTCCTTTAGTCCAAATTGTTTGTATACTTTATTGTCTTTATACTTTAAAAATTCCGAAGAAGATTTTAAAAGTTTATGTATTAAAAGTAATATATACGAAAAATTAATATAAAAATTATTGCGTTCTATCGATAAAAACTTGTATTTACAAAAAAGAAAAAGAAAAATATCATAGTCGGTAATCTTTACACTTCTATGGTGCAATAATTAATTTTTTTTGCCAGTGGAGGCATTTTTTGTCAAGTACTGCCCAGTGAGAAATGTCAATGAAATCGATGTCGAATCGATGTCGATTCCATTATTATTTCTCACTGGGTAAATGTCGTGAGTTTTTAGCACCTCTGAGCGTGCCTCTGAGTAGAGATGGAAAACTATCGATAGTCGCAACCATCGATAATTACTAAAAGTTTGTTGCTTGACTCTTTTTTGAAAATTTTATTTATTTATAATTTCTTAAAAAATTTACAAAATTAAAATTTTATTTTTAATAAATATATGTATGTACATACATAATCGAATTTTTGCAACACTAACGAAATAATCGATAATTATCGATCGCTATATCGATAGTTATTTACTTCTATTTCTGAGCACTTTTTACAACTGTAATGAGATAGATATATATATTTAACCGTTGGGAAAAGAAAGAGCGAGAGAGTTGAGTGCAGAAGGTGTAATTAAAGATCTTCTGAACTGCGCCTCGGAGATGGTGAATAATATTGAGTTTGTATGTCACACGCGCATCTGTAAACTCACAATTGTAAATTGAAATTATCACACGAGGTGGAATTTAAAACTGATATGTGACTGTTGCGTTTCTTTGTAAGATTAGAATAGATTAAGAGGATTTCAAAATGACAACGGAATTTGTGTGGGATGCCGATAATGCGGCAGCAACGTCGACCGTATGTAATACATCGCAATATATTTCTTCAAGGATATTCATCCTTTCGTATACTACTTTGTCTAGTTAACTAACATTCTTGTTAAAATGCTGATGATATATGATACGAGATACGATGAAATGATATAACATTTTTTTCTCTTTCATTAATTTGTATCATAATTTTATTTTCAAAGCATAAAAAGTAGATAAAAATAATCGTTATAATTATAAAAGAAATAGAAAAAAAGGAAAGATTTTAAAAATAAAATAGTGCTAAATAACAATTTCTGTTAAATCTGTTATCTCTCTCTCTCTCTCTCTCTCTCTCTCTCTCTCTCAAATAGAAACTATTATATATATTTTGTCTGCAGAATATTCTGTTTAAGTGGTTTATATAGTTTTTATATAAAAAAAATAGCGTTTTTTATTCAAGATGTATATAAAGAACATTATTTTTTAAAATTATTTTGTATTTCAAATTATTAAAACTATACATTTCAGAAGAGATTTAATGAAAAATTGTATATAATTCAATAATTAAATATATTGAACTTATTTTAATTACGATTACTTTTTTCCAGACCGACGAAAGGACACCACTTTTGTCAGCGAGTGGTCAAGCCATGTCTGTTGAAAAGATTGGTATTTCACAACAGACCTTGGTCTCTACTGATGGTCTTGGTCGAGCTAAGAGGCTCCCACAATATCTGGCAGGCATAGCAGCAACGCTTGGCGCTCTTGCTGCTGGTATGGTGCTTGGTTGGACATCGCCTGCCGGTGAAAATGGTGTTAATCTGGCAAAAAATTATGACATAAAGATATCTACAATTGAATTCTCCTGGATAGGATCTCTTGCTACTCTTGGAGCGGGTGCAATGTGCATTCCGATCGGCATAATAGCGGATTTAATTGGAAGAAAAACTGCCATGTTAATCATGGTAGTCCCATTCACTATTGGTTGGCTTCTAATTATCTTTTCAAACTCAGTACTTATGTTCTACTTTGGTAGATTCATTACCGGCCTCAGTGGTGGAGCCTTCTGCGTAGCTGCTCCCTTATATACGGCAGAGATAGCTGAGAGTGAGATCCGCGGTACGCTTGGCTCCTACTTCCAATTGATGCTCACAGTAGGTATCTTGGCCGTGTACGTTTTTGGAGCCATTATCGAAAATATGAGGACTCTATCGATCATTTGCGCGGTGATGCCGCTGATTTTTTTCGGAACATTTTTCCTCATGCCAGAAACTCCAGTGTATTATTTGAAGAAAGGTAATGAGGAGGCCGCCAGGAAAAGTTTGATCAAGTTTCGTGGCAATGAATATAATATCGAAGCCGAGTTGCAGGCGCATCGTGAAACGCTTGAAGAAACTAGACGAAGTGGTGGATCATTTTTTGATTCAATCAAATCTTCGGCCGCCAAAAAAGGCTTTGTCATCGCTTACGGATTGATGCTCTTTCAACAAATGAGTGGCGTGAACTCTATTATTTTTTATTCTTCGGACATCTTTTCCGGAGCTGGAGACGCTATTTCGCCCAACATAGCTACTATCATTGTGGGAACAGTGCAAGTAGTATCAGTTTTTTTTGGTACTCTTGTTGTTGATAAACTGGGTAGGAGGATCCTGCTTCTGATATCAATCGTAGTAATGTTCCTGATGACTCTGCTTCTTGGGATTTACTTTTATTGTCTTGACCATACCACGGCCTTCAATGATATTACGTGGTTTGCACTTATTCCACTGTGCACTTTCCTTGTAGTATTTTCCGTGGGCTTTGGACCGATCCCGTGGATGATGATGCCAGAGATCTTTGCACCAGAGGTGAAAGGAATTGCTGGGAGCAGCGCCTGTTTATTCAACTGGCTTATGGCTTTTATAGTCACCAAATTTTATTCCGACATGAAGGAAGCTGTACAATCCTATGGCACTTTCTGGATATTCTCCTTATTCAGCGCCGTCGGCACTCTATTTGTTTACTTTTTAGTTCCAGAAACGAAAGGCAAAACATTGGACCAAATACAAAGGGAGTTGAATGGTTGATCAAGAATTGACTAAAGACTTTGACGAGCAGGAGAATATAAATTGTACATATTAAAATACATTGTTTTGTATAGAATAAAGTTGTACATATAATAAGTTATAGTACTTAAAATTAATATATTTTGTAAGTTGAGTAAATCGTATCAAGCACATAATATTATAGCGGGTGAATGTTATATTCATAATGCTATCTTCGTAACTCTCGCATAGATGATTTATTAACTGGAAATTAAAAATATATTTTAATGGATCAGAACAAAAGTTCGTAGCGTTACTTCATTTGCATCATATTTATACGCTTTTAAGAAAAAGCAATTGTACTATTTGATAGACCAAAGTTTCAGTTTTAAGAATCTGTTTTTTGAATTGCGGTATGATAGTTTTTAACAGAGTTATGAACAATTAAAATCAAAATGCTCTCCTTTTATTTAATTCGCGACAATTCAATAACAAAAAAATGTTAAGAATATGTTTAAAAAACAATTTTTTAAGGAAAACTTTAAACTCTTACGTTAAAAAATCGAAAATTTTCAAAAAAAATTTTTGTTATATAACAGACCCACAAAGTGAAAAGACAATTTCCCATTTTCTTCAGTTTGTAGGCTCTTATATGTAAAAATTATCAAATTCACAAAACTCAAAAGACTTAATGGCTTTTCAAAAATAGAGATTTTACGCTTTAAAACTCTTCTTCAAATTTAAATTTTATTCGTTTTTAACGAAGTTACAACTGTTTAAATTTTGATGTTTGTAGCATTTGTGAACTTTTGTTCTAACTAATCTAACTCAATACTTTAATAAGTAAGTAGTGACTATAAACTATATCTTCTCCTTTTCCAAAATTACATTAATATATTTAAGTCCTAAAAAAGAGAAATATCTTTTAGAAATGTGACACATTGAAATATTCAATGTAAAATGCCATTCGACATTAATATTGTTACCTTATTATACCTCTAAGGCTGGTATTCATAGATTTTTATACTTAACATTATTTTTATATTTAAGATTGTCTTAGGTATATTTAAGACAGTCTTAAAATATTATAAGCCAAAGCCAATCACAGAAGTGTACGTATTAGCATCTTAAGATATTGCCTTAAGATAAGAACAGGCTATGAAACCAACATTTTTAAATAGTCCACAAACATCACTAGTCAATCAGCTCTTTGATTCTAAAGAAGAATCAGTATTCAATGATATTATAATTTTATTTATACAGAGTGTCATTAAAATACGGCACCACCCATCCTGAGCAGGTAGAGTGGACTAAACTGAGTTAAAAAGTCCTCTACCATTTTGCGATTTTCGCAATGGTGTTAATGAGATGTTAATTACTAAAAATCGCTAAATATTGGTTTTCAATAATTTTTTACTCAAATACTATCAACTTTACAGAAAAATTGCAAGAGACAAAAATCATTAATTTTCTTTTCATGGAAATGTAAGAATATTTTCAGAATTTTTTATCAATTTTTTAGTACTACATTTTCTTATTTTTACCACCATGAGAAAATACGATATTTAAAAATTCTGAAAAAATTCTGAAAAAATTCTCAGAACTTTATAAGAAGAAAATAAACCATTTTTATCTCTTACTGTTTTTCTGTAAAATTGATAGTATTTGAATAAAAAATTATTAAAAACCGATATTTAGCGATTTTTAGTAATTATATCTCGTTAACCATTGCGAAAATCGTAAAATGATAGAGGACTTTTCGACTCAGTTTAGTCTGCTCTACCTACTCAGGATGGGTGGTGCCGTATTTTAATGACACTTATATATTTTCATTTAATTACATTATACTTTTAGGCTGACCCTTTGGTAAATTTGTATAAAGTTTCTTATAGATACTGTTTATGTTAGCGTTATTATTATCGCATATGTGGTATATGTGATACTTATTTGCTCACTCTGTAATAAATTATTGTTGACCATCCAAAACAAATCCAATTCGCTCTTTTGACAAAATATATTATAGGCGAAAGACATCTACGTCTCCTGCGCTATTGCGAGCCTCGCAATAAAGAAAATTGTTTCTACTGCAGTTTCTTCTTTATCCTATTTTTATCATAATTCAGTTTCTTATGCAATATTTCTTATTTTCTTTTACAGAAGTCTATACTTTTCAGTCTTAACAAATATTTATTTCAATAAATTTTGTAAATAAACAATATAAATAAAAAGAAAAATTTCTGAAGACAAAAGTTATAAGATAAAGAATATAGTTTGAAATTTTTTGAACTTTACTAGACATACCTATAGTTTTTCTAAATATGCATTTTTTTATTTATATACATATATATAATACATAGATACATATATATAAATAAATATATTTTATTTCTTGTATATTAAATCGCCTCCCCCCTCGCTGTAAATTTTTTATATTTTATTTTATATTTATATACTGAAAAAAGGATATTTAAAAATTTAATTTTATTTGTAAATTATAATGTTTATTTCATAAAAATAAATTCTCATTTAAATACAGCGAAATACAATTTTATTTCTAGCAAATAAACAATCTATTGTTTATAATTCATGGAAAAAATAAGATATATCTCATAGAAATATATATTCCGTTACGGTCAAATTTTTAAATAATTAATAAATATCAAAGAAAATGTTCCAAATAACATTGCTTTTGAATATTTTAATTTTTTTCTCAGTGTATTAATAATAAGCATCTCCAAAAAATTCAAAATAATCTACTTATTATTGATATTGAAAATATCTATTTTAATCTTATGTATCAACCGTATATTGGATTTGTCACTTTGATTTTTTACATTTTGTGATTCTATTTTTATTTAGCTAAAATTCTTTAAAAATAATTAAAAACCTATTCCTCTTTTCTGAAAAGAAATTAGATGTGAAAAGGTTAAACAGTTACGAAACACAAGATTTTTCTAATTTTTATTACGTGTTGTGTGAAATTATGTTAAACATTGTTCAATTTTTTTCCTATCATATTTTATTAATTAATAAATTCTAAGGTTCGTTTTAGACCACGCTTATTACGATATTAGTGTAGGGGGAGACCGGAGACAAAAGTAACACGGGACAATAGTAACATCGTCAATATTTCTTAAACTATAACAGATACATGTATGTGGCCGCGTGGTAAAATTCTATAAACAGATAGGCATTGAATCGTTCGTTACATGCTGATTTTCGCAGAACGTGCACGAGTGCAGAAGCAGAAATTACTTTTTTCATACATCAAGTAACTTTTATTGCGTGCACAAAATTTAAAATATTTTTTTTTCTTTATAACAAATGTATAATGTATTATCTTAATATGTTTTAATGATTATCTGTGTTGATGTTTTTCACATTTGAGTTGATTTTTATCTAGGTTTTTATTTAAAAAATTTACTATGAATCATAAAATACCATTAGGGGACAATAGTAACATCGATGCCTGGGGTCAGTTATTCAATTTTATACTGTAGAATCTGGATTTTGTAAGAAGGATAGTTACTTCAGCTTACTTAATAGTATTATCAGAGACTTCTTTATATTTGGCGAATACTTTTTGTAATCGAACCATATGGCGTATATCCAAGATTTATTTTTTGACAACTACATCTATTCATTGTTGGATACTTAGCGATATTTGAATGTTTAGCGTAAATCCAGGATCTACCTTCTGTCGACTACATATAACTGAAATCAGGCCTGAACAACGAAGGTCTATTTTTAATAATTTTCATTATACTACTATAATTAGTGATCTATGTTAATCTATTGTAGTCAACCGCTTTCATATATATACTTGTTTATAACTTTGAAAATGAAGGTGATCGAAACGTTAGTTGTTGTAGACATATTTTTAGTTTAATGTAGATATTACATATTTTTATTTTGTTTTTACTTCGATTTTACTTAATGTCAACTGTATCATATGTACATTAAAATTTGTTTTGTTTTGGCTCGTAGCTCTTCTGATTTATTTTGTTTTATTTGAATTATTTGAGCCTTTCTTAATTATGTATTTTTATTAATAAAACCAATAAATTAACCATTATTTTATTTATAAATAATATAGTACAATTGTCCCTCTCTACTGTTACAATTGTCCCAGGGGTTGGGACGGTTGTAACAAAATTCCTGATAGTCTTTAAACAAACATAACTTTTTTTCTAGTTACATTGAAAAATTGAATCAAAGACAATTTTGTAGCTAAATAAATTCTACATCTAAAGGTATATACTTTTTTAAATGTAAATATTTTAACTGTTATAACACTTCAAAGTAAAAAAAAATGTTACTTTTGTCCCCGGTTTTCCCTACATTTAGGCTGCGTTTGGGGAGCGCGCTATCAGCACCATTGCATCAGTTTATCCTTATTTTAAGTGTAATGAATGATAAAAATAGAATGAGAGAGAGAGAAAGAGAGAGACAATAGCACACGAAGAAAAACATTTGGTACAATTAACTGGAATTTTGGTGGAAGATAAACGATCCAGAATTTTGATTAAACCTAGTCGATTTCTGATTAAAATTTCTGGAATTCTAGTTAAAATAATGAACATTCTGAATTTTCTTGGTTAAATCTACTAGAATTAACCAGAAATCTAGTAGATTTGATCAGAATTCTGGATCATTCATTTTCCGTCAGAATTCCAGTTAATTCAATTAAATATATTTCTCCGTGTACTGATAGCGCACTTCTTGAATGCAATCTTAGCATATATAATTCACATTATATGTATATATTATAAAATTCCAGAAAAAGAAGCGCAATATTAATAAAAGCTCGTTATGAATATGAGCCTAGACTATTGCTAAAATTTTGTGTCGATATCAATGCATTAAATTTTATCTCCGATAATGTAGTAGACATTTTATATAATCTGTTCTCTATACGGACTTGGTTATGCTGATAGATTGATTTAAATATGTCAAATATCACTCGTTAAACTGTTATTTATATAGCTTTTGAATTGCGAATAATTTAACAGGTATATGCGGGTGTCTGAATAAAATACGTTTATTCGAAAACGTACTTAAAAATGTGATGCATTTTTATTACAAAAAAAAAAATTAAAAGCATTTACAATATCGAAAATACAACTTTTAAAAACGTAATCGAAAGGAAATATTTATATTTAGTCAATTAAATAGATTGTTACTTTGATCGAGACTTCGACCGAGAGATAATAAGTCGGATAAGGTATTAAGAAAAATTGTATAGATATATATAGCACAATAATTTTTTTTCGAAATATCGTTCATAAAGAATTAAATAATAATAAGCTTATTTTCTGCATTGGGACGTAATATTCTAAAATCAGTGCTTTTCCAATGTTCATCACGACGTTATTACAACAATTTAAAGCGTTGCATGCAACGAACATGTGATATGCTGGTATAACAGATGCCAAGTGGCTACGCATACGAACGTGTTCCAAACACAAAATATTGGTATTTTCGGCTACATTATGTCACACTTTCTGTATTTAAGAGGGCATATACACCGACAAGGATTTAAAAAATCGATTTTTTCTTACATATTTTTAAAGTTTGATATTTCAGATAACAAAATATCCAAAATCGAGACATAAGATATCTTAAAGATGTTTTTAAGACGTCTTATGTCTCTTAGGTATCTTGAAGAAAGTTAAGACTGTTACTGGAAAGTCATAAATCGATTCAAAGAAAACTGGAAAAGTTATACATGATTAAGTATAAGTAATCAAGCGCGCCGAATATGCTGAGTTCACTAGACAGATAAACATATACCTGAAACAGGACCTTTCAAAATCCTACAGGTATAAAGAAAGATCTTTCTCGTTTTTAATATATTCAGCGAGTCTTCGAGCTGTATAACTCGATCGGTCAGTTTGGTAACAATAATTGTCGTTTGGACGTTTAACGTTTTCATAGTGTAAACAGAATATAAAACTTTAAACGCCGAAACATGATTTTCAAAATGCCTAACCACTTTATCTTGAAGATGGCTTCACGGAGAGAATTTTCTTTTAAAATTTACCCTGAAAATATAGTGATTGTGGTACAATACAATATTTTAAAGATTTTTACCATGCACTTTAGTAAAATTGATCAAACTTATTTTATACTTTATTGTAGTTTTATTAATGAATGAGAGAGATTTATATTAAAATTCTTCGAAATACAATGTTGTCCCACAACTGTCATATTTTCAGAGTAAATTCTAAGAAAAAATTCTCTCCGTGTTGACTAAACAACACCTGCAAGTTTACTATATAGGCACTAAAAGTTAGTCCATGTGTAGATTTTTTTAATAATGCTTCATTTTTTTTACGATCAAATAACCAACAAAATTTTTTGCGCAAAATTGATATTTGACTTTGACTAGTAGCCATTTTGTTTAAATGCAATATTTCAAAAAATTCGGCTACGATAAGGAATAGATTTATGTTTCAACTTTATAGAACTTGTATCGTTTTGCTTTCAAATGAATTTTGTGGAAGTGATAATGGTCACCGAAAACCATGATTTTTAAAACAAATTTTACAAGAATATTAATAACGTCGCCATTTTTAATTAATTTTTAATAAAATTGAAATGATAAAGAGAGAAAAATACAAAAATACGGTTTCTTTATCTCTTTCCGTTTTTCTACAAAAAATTCACAAAGTTAGGCTTCATTTTGAGTTTATATAGGTGTATATGCTCCTTTAAAAAAGAAATAGAAACATAGTTAGAGATATAGAGAAAGAAAAAGAATTATAAAGAAAAACAGAATTTATTAAAAGCGTACATAGAGTGTAACTAACCAGGTCAAACTTAAAAGAAGCGATTACATACATGTGTATTTATACGCTACCTTTGACTATATAACCATGGACTGATGGACTGCTAGTTGACTTTTTACGCTGTAATGAACATCACGCGTGCCCCCGGGGGCTAAATGGCAAAAATCCGAAACACGAAGTCACATTTCGATGGTAAAACAGCGAATCCTGGTACTTCAATGATACATCGATAACTTACGTATATAGTATTAATCTTAATAGTCCGGGAGATGATGACACTAAAATGGTCATGATTTGTTACCGCTTCAAATCGTCATAATTCGTCATTTATTAGGTAAACATGCAGGAAACGCAAGTATGGCAAACCTCCCGCGGTTTTAAAATTGGTAGCGTGTGATTGAAGTTGTCAAAAATTTGTTGCTTTTTTCCTAATAAGTTACCGGATGGCATGTGTTTCTAGTGATAGTTTA